TTATTAATTCTCCTCCAGAGAACTGGGAGCAGATCCAGAAAGAGACAACAAATCCAACCACAGGTCGCGCAGCCCAACAGGAAAAAGAACGTCTCCAAAAGCTGCGAGGGAACCGGGGTCCCCGCGTGCATCCAAACCCTCCCACCTGACCTCGCCGCCCGCTCCCTCGGTCAGCCCCGTCTCGAAAAAGAGACGGGCGGAGGAGGCTTTAAAAGCGACGGTCCCCACACTCCTGGTGGAGGACGAGCCCGTGGAGGAGGAGCGCGGGAGGAGGGAGGGAGGAGCTCGCAAAAGCAAGTCAACAAAAGCCAGGTCTCCGGAGGAAGGTAGGAGTTCACTCATGAGCACGAATCACAAGTTGATCAGTAAATAAACGACAAGCATGAGGCATTACAAATAAGAGTTACAACATACATCCCTTAAAACTAATAAGAAAAACTAAAATTTGATATTTTCATTTGAACTCTTCGATGATTTAAAGCTATTTAATGCAAATAAAATAAAATAAAATTTCCGTTCTGCAATGTGGTATGCCCACACTGTAAACAAAGCACTTTAATTTGCATATTTTACATATAATTTTACACATCATTGATTGACCTTTGAATCCCAAATGGCTTTTCTCTCTCTTTTCCAAGCAACTCTTTGATTGTGTTCCTATTTTCAGTCACTTTGGTTTTTTTTTTTTTTTGTAGGTAAACAAACACGTAACAGTGGGAACCGTTCCAAAATTTTTCTTACAAAGTTTTAATTCAAGAACACATTAACCACTGATAATTTTGTATCATGTGTTCTACTTAGAAGGACAAAGCACATTAATCAATATTCCATGAATATGGATGTGCCAGATTTAGTACAACAGCTAAATTTTGTCCGTTGTCCTGAGCAGATAAAAAATAAAAACAGTTTAAAAAACAAGCACACAAACATCGCACTCTGCAAATTACACAGTTAAAATAAACCTTTTTTTTATAAATGAATACATGACTGATTTTCCTAAAAACAATGGATTCACTTTCAGAGTCCCTGATAGTTTATTCCATAAGTGTGTTCTAATTAGTTAATCTTTTAGTTGTCTTTTTGATGAGAGTCTTGACGGGTTTTAGCACATTTGATGTTTTATGGGACTTGGTTTAAAACAATAGGATAAAGGAGAAAAAATCATGCATTTAAATTTGGGGGAGGGGAGTGTACAGATTTTGTTTCTTACTTTATGATCTATTCATTTTTTTCTGTCCAGTCCTTGATACTTTGCAATAAGAGACAAATTTTGAGGCTGTAAATAGGAAGTGTCAGCACAATGGATCAGTGGTAAGCACTGATGCCTCATAGCAAGAAGGTCCTGGATCGGTCAAGAGGGTTTTCTGTGTGGAGTTTGCATGTTCTCCTCGTGCTTGCGTAGGTTTCCTCCCACAGACTACAAAAATATATGTTGCCTTCAGGTTCAGGGCTGTCTTGCTAAAGAGATTTGTGATCTCAATGAAGTTTGTCTGGATAAATAAAGGTAAAAAAATGAAATATCTTTTGCTCAAATCTGACATGAATGACCAATATTTCAACAAAAGTAACAATTTTATATTATTTCAAAAATTAAGGCATGTTTTCTGGAACTTGTTTTGCAGTGTCTAAACTCATTTTAATTTTGATGTTTATCAGTAAAGGTGTTTATAGCTGTAAATCACACATCTATAAACACCCAACACTGATGTCATTGGGTTTTAGAGCACAACAAGTCAAACCTCTTTAAACTCAAAAACACAATTTTTGAGGAAGTGTGTATTTATTGTTAAAATGTGTAAAGCAGGGCTATTCAACTGGCGGTCCACGGGCCACAACTGGCCCGCAAGTGACCATAGTTTGGTTCAATTGGTTCATTCATCTCTTAACCCCAAAGCCCCAGTTTTCTACTTTAATTACTATACATTCTTTTATTTGGACATAACTAAAAGAACAACAATTGGTTTCCACAGAAACATAAGAATCTTGGCTAGAAGCTGGTAAAAAACCGTTTCTATGAACACCCAAGACAGTTAAAACTACAAGCAGTTGAAGATATGGAAATTAAAATAAAATTGGTTTTAAAATTCAGCAAGTCAGAGATGTTTAAATAATATTTGTGTTAAACAGGAGGGATAATGTTTTATTTTTGATATTGTCCTGATGCATCTCAGTTATCCAGGTAGAAAAGTCTCTTGGAGGAGAGACAAAACGGTTCATTGAAGAAGAACCCGTCCAGAGGACCTACTTATTTTTAATT